ACAAGCCAATTAGTGCAAAATTGGCTTAAGGGGGGACGCCTACCTAGAGAAGTGAAAAATACATGCTTTTTCGGGAATTTTTTTTTAAATACTGAATAAATTTTTATTAATAAAAAGTAGATTATTATAAAATATACATTTTTGACATACTATAATAATTTTTTTATGACCAAATTATAAAAAGTAATTGAGATATTCATCGATGCCGTGGACGTCCTTTTTTAGAGGCGTTGTGCGGTGACCACTCTATCTCAAAGCAGGATTATCTGAAATCAAAAAATCGAAAATTTTTAGTTTATATATTAAATTATCTAGGTCTCTACGGGCCGCATTTTTGAAAAATTGATTTGAAACAAAATGGCGGCGGTGTAAAGTTAAGGTATCGATTTTGACCAAAAAATTGCTCTTTTTTTGTGTATAAAAAAAGAAGTAAGCAAAAAAAAAGGAAAAAGCCCTCGTAGTGACCTAGATTTTGATCTCTTAAATAAGCCTGTAAAATTTGAAATAAATCGATCGACTGATTTTTGAGTTATGTTGGTCACCGACTTTGAAAAAGTGATTTTGAGAAAACGCGTTTTAAAGTTTTGTGTCATGTTTACACCTAAATAAAAAATTAATTTTTTAACTTACATTGAATCATCTATTCCTGGTCATAACAATCTTTCTGCATCAGCTGCCATCTCCAAAACTTCAAGCTGGTCTTGCCTACGACCCTGTCTTGCTTCGTGCGTACTTGCTTGCGCGCGGACATTAGCTTTTTGTATTCGCTCCTCATCCTTCTTTGCCGCATACAAATGAATATTTGGGCCACAATTTACTCCCATGGCTTCAAAAATCTTTAATAATGAAGAAGTGCCTTCATTAAAGATGCAGGTTGCGATGTAGGCTGCTATTTCAACAATATTAGAGCCACTGTGATAAATTTTTGGACTTATCTTCCAAATGAGCTGGTTGAAGCTCTCATTATTATTTTGATTAAATCCACCAATGCATCTTTCTAATAAAGTATCATTGCTGAGGTTCTCATAAATAGGTTTTATTGCTGCCAACACATCTGCAGGAAGAGCTTTATAATCGTGCTTGAACGAATCAAGCTCGCCGCTCGCAGAAGCACGTTGCCAGCTACACCACGAGTCGGCTCCAGATGGGCACTTATTATGTCTCGGATTTTCATCGGTCGAACTATAATGGTCATACGTTGCCCAAATTGCTTTGTGCATTTCTGGGATAGAATCACAATGTCGACGAATAGCTAGTCCGTAATACACCGTTAACTTGTCGATCATTTTCGCCGTAAGTTTTCCTTTGCCGCCGAGTCCTTTCGTTGTTTTCTTGCACGTGCGTAATCGTGTTCCCATTTTTTTCTGTACATGCCCAATGCATTCTTTTTTTTTAATAGAAATATCGTTGCCATAAGGTTCTGAATTTACGATGCTTGCGTAAGTCTTCGAATCTCCGTCACCAATGTAATTAACATATTTTACATTGTAATTTTGTACGGAGCGCTTAAAAATTTCCGTGATTGCGTCAACTTCCATCTTTCCCGCCGATCCTTCATGATTTGCTGAACATACGGATTTATGTGACTCGAACCATTCTTCAAATTCTTCAGTGCCTTCCTTTTTACTCCAAAATTCACATATTTTGCAATAAGAACTTTTAATAATAACATCGAGAACTTTGCCGCTGTAGTATCCAATAACTGATGAAACACCGTAGAGAGAGTTGAAGCCTCGTTTTTTCCACGTTCCGTCCCCGGAAATTGTTAATTCTGATGTTTCTTCGATGCTATTAGCTTTGCATGTTTTTTCAATTTCTTCTTTTACAGCATTTTTGAGAATTAATTTACAAACACTTTCGACAAAGGAATAAATATTTTTTAAAATAACATCATATGTGCTGTGAAATAAAAACTGCGGCATATCCATTAGGCCGCAAAATTTTTGGCAACCTTCAAGTCCGAGGCCGAGAACTCTCATTGTAAATATAAATCTTCTGTTTATTTCAAACGTTGTTCCGATGTAAGGACAGGAAGGAATCAATTTAGAATCACACGTATCGCATTGTATTAGTAATTTAAATCCAAGGCCTCGCGTGCTCGCTGTCAAAAATTTCACGTCCCCATTACACACTTTACATTTAACATAATTAGAAATAGCAGCAAATACTGTTATAAAATTTAAAATTCTATATTCAATATTGTTGTCTTGCGGCACTATAATGTCCTTTTGCAATTTTAATTTTTTTGCAGATGTACTTTGATCAATGTCAGTCTCCAACTCATGAGCACTTTTAGGCTGCTGTCGTTTTTTACTTCTTGATAATCGAACATTTTGAATTGTTCTTAACTCTCTTGAGCCTTTACGTCCCATGGCAATTTATTATTCACGAGCGAAATGAAAACAACTGTTCTGCTGTACAGCTCAAAACTAACTGACCCTCTCTAAATTTTAGTACGTTAGCCTCGGACCGTTATATTTACAATACAGGTATACAGGAACCTTCGCACAAAACGTCTCACAAAGGAGGTTATATTGGGTTATGTTGTATAGGTTTCAACGACCCATAGATTCCTGTTTCGCGATTGTTTGAATACCTGCTCGAACGCTCGAACGCTCGAACGCTCGAACGCTCCTTCCGAGTAACATTTAGACGTCTATAACTTTGTCAATTTGATTCGGATTGACTTGAAATTTTTAGGAAATATTTTTAAAATGTTGTACTTCAAGAAAATATCAAAACCCAAAAATCGATTTTTTATTTGTATTCGTTAACGTTTCCTCCACACTGAAGATGGTTGAAATATTTGACTGTATGTATAAGCGTTTAATGTTAAAATAAGTGATTGAGCACTGAGATCCAGCTATGGCCCTATTTGCTTTATATTATTTATTCTATTATAAAATAATAGAAGAGCCTTCAACTATATTATAAATTATGTTATTAAGAACGATTTTATCTTATTTTTCCAATCAACCTTACGTCTCCCTCTTCTCGCAGGCTGCCGACCGGCCAAGATGCGACACAAGGAAGAATCCGTCTTTGCGCCCAGGTCGCTGTTCGACAGGCCCTCATCAGCGTTAATGAAGATGCGTCGCGATATGAAAATGCACAACAAGTATCGCACGATTGCGCGTGCGTTGGTGCCGGTGTTAAAGACTTCGTCGCACGTCACAAAGACTTCGCCGGAGCCGGATCACGCTGTGGACTGGCTGGTCTACGAAGAGTGGGGTCTGTTGCATCCCATCCAGAGCTACCAGAACCTGCCGTTGAACACGATGATTCTCACGCCCGGTCACACGCCCAATTGGGACATGGTCGCTGACACCATCAACAACTCCGCGCGTCTGCATAGATCGCCCAAGCACTGCAGAGGCCGATACGGGACCGTGATAATGCCGCGAGAGGAGGGTAAACTCATGTACGACGTTGCGCCGAAGAAGCAAAAGAAGCAGAAGGGTAGCGTGTACAAAACGCCGCAGGTTTCCGAGAGCAAGACCAACAGAGCGTTGAGAACGTCGCAGTTGCATAATCAGGATAAGAATAACTCCTTCACAATGATGGGAAATCAGAAATACGAAACTGTCAAGTCGGTGTCCAATAAGCGAACGCCCATCGCGAACGTGAAGCTGCTTCTCGTCAATTCGTTAATGAGAAATCCCGGTAGCGCAGCCGTTCTGCTGGAAAGTGGTATACAAGTCGAGAGCCCGATGGTGCCAATGGATGTCGCCACCAAACGCGCTAATAGAATCGCCAAGGAGAGAGTAGATTGGCGCTGTTTGTTTGTACACGTGTTTTTCCTTCCGGATATATTTATTCTTATATTCTGGTATTAGGGCGTGAGCCCTCATCCTGATATTAATATTAGGATGAGGGCTTACGCCCTAATACCTATTTATAATTTTATATTTCTAATTTAATAGGTTTCTCATCCATAAGGATCGGGAAACATTTTTGTGTATTTATTTTGTGATCTACTCTCTAAACTACTAATAGAAAGAAAAGATTTACAACGGATAATCTCAATTAGGCGGGGGGATCATTTCTGTTCCCTCGCCGGAATTCGAAAAGGCCTATAACTCGTTGGTAAGTGACATGTTGCCTTCTGATAGCTACGATTCCATCGAGGAATCAGATGAAAAGAGATTTATAAAGAAGCTCAAGTTTCCAATCCCCAGAAACGTGATCGCAAGGACTCATCGACTTTAATATCACAGACGTTAGAAGATAATGCATTCCCTGCAAAAAAAGGCTCAGAAAAAAAGATAAGAAATTGAGGAAAATGGCTAAGAAAGAGAAATCAACGGATACTATAACTCAAGGAAAGAACAAATTCAGTCAGCAGTCTACGAAGATAGATAATGATTGCCTTTACAACAATTGTTGTCGTAGCCCATACATCATCTTCACAGTGAAGACTTCACTAAATATAAAATGGGCAAAAAAGAAGAAACCAAACTATCCAACGTAAAATTTAGCAGAAAACTTCTGAAATGTAACGTCCCCTTCACAAGCATGGAAACGTATGCCAAAAACTTCTGGAAGGTCACCTTTGAAAATTTCAGAACTGCCAACGACTCATTAAGAAATAGATATCTTAAGGAAGCCGGTTTCACTGTTTATATCTCCAGATATAAATTATTCAGAAAAGGTGTCATCCACGAAATTCCTTTGGACGTCACGATGGACGAATTGAAGACTATATTCTCTAAAGAAAACCCAGGGTTCCAAATTAGTGATGCCTTCAGACTAAAAAGGAAAAACAAGATTACCAAAATATGGGAAGAATGTCAATCGATCTGTATCACTATTAAAGGTGAAAATCTTCTCGGTAAAATCATTTTATGGCGCTGTGTTACACCAGTTCATGCTTACATTCCTAATGTTAGGATCTGCTATAATTGTGGTCGCCTGGGTCACATTAGTAAGGCATGCGAAAGTGAGAGAGTATGTTTGACCTGTGGCATCTCTCATCTGAGTAAAGAGGAAGATTTTAAATCATGTACTGCAGCCAAGAAATGTGTCAACTGCGGTGGCGACCATATTTCATCAGACTTCTCGTGCCCGGCACTTGTGAAGAGGAGGCTTATCAACAGGATTATGACAGAGGAAAACATCCCTTTCCTGGAAGCAAGAAGGAAATCTGACCGTGTCAACCATTCATGCAACTCTAAAAACTCATACGGATCCGATTTTCCTCGGTTGTCAAGCCCAATGTCACTAAGAGACTCAACGTTTGCTGACGCTGTAAGATTTGCGAATGCGGATCAAAATCTCATAATCTTCCAAATAAAAGTCCTCATATTTAAAAAGTTCCGCATATATATGGGGCATTCTTTCTCAGCTTTACACCCATGCTGCCCATTTTCTATTCGATCTAAAAATTTTAGAAAAAATCTTAAAGTTTACAGAAAAATGTAAGCTTTCCAATGGCGCGTGGCAAAATTATCAAATTCAACTGAATCATACTTAAAATTTCAAAAAACCGAAAAAAAAATAAAAACGGTAATTATTCAAGTGTAGCGATTATTCATTCGACGTTTTTCTCTTCCAATTAACACTTTCGAGTATTCTGTTTATCTGTGCACTGTCACATGAGTCTAAATTAAAATGGCGGATCCAATATGGCCGTCAAAAATTTAAAAATTTAAGAAATTAACGGATTTTTGTAAAACTTAATACCAAAGAGTTTTTCTGTATGCTGAATACAAATCTCAAATCGGATTTTGAAAATTCAAAATGGCAGATCTAATACGACCACCAAAAATATTGAAAAATTTAAGAAGTTAACGGATTTTTATAAAACTTGGTATCAGGAGTATATTTGGGACGCAGATTTTAAAATTTTATCATTAAATTCGTATTTATCGACCTATTTGGTCTAAAGATTATCGAAAAACTATTAAAATTTATAACAAAATTTAAGTCCTCCATGGGCGCGTGGCAAAATTATCAAATTCAATTGGATCATTATTTTTTTTCTGAGCCTAGTCAAAAAAGTTTCATAAAATAAGATCGTGAAATCCATTTTGTACACATTCGAGAGAGTTTCTCTGCCGCGATATTATCGCCATTCATTACAACATTTTTACGTTAAAAAACGTTTCATTGTGATTCCGTAAATTTTTAAACGCTTTAATATTTGGATTTGTATATCCGACTCCCATAGTTCTGGGCTTTTTTTGTGCTTTGAGCGTTTCTCTGAGGTTTTCTTCGAACAGTTCTTTTCAGAGCTACTTTTAACCGTTCTTTTAGGACTGCTCTCAGAACAATACTACAGAAAATTCTATTATCTGTATTATTTTTGATCGTGAATCTTAGAATTTGATTTTCAATATGTCCAGTATACACGGTGATAGATGTTGCAATCCCTACAATGTGGAAGGTCACAGAGGGAAAGATCTTCGACGCATTTCGAGTGTTATCAAACGATTATTCCCAAAATTTCCAGATTGTTCTCAACCCGAATAACCTTGATATCCGAGTTGCGTTTTCGCGTATTCGAATAATAATAACTCTTTCGTATAATATCAATGTTTATTGCAGATCCACAAAATAATTGCTTATTAGTTATTCACCAACAATTGAAATCTCGCAAACTTTAGAATCAGTGATCTCGTTTTACGAGATGCGACAACGCCTAGGAACCTTAATGGTCCTGAGTCGCTTCCCTGCTTAAAATAATAGATAGGAGATGAATGGATTTCATTACTATAACATAGAATCTTTATGTTGATTGATACGACGAGTTTAACCAATGTCACAATACATACACTTCCAATATAGTTTAATGATATTTTATAATATTATTTCTTTTAATACTATTGAATATGAAAATTTGTATATCAGTTAATATTCTTTTATATGTAAAGAAGTTTTGTCATTTATTTATGATTATTCTATAATAAACTGCTTATGATATTTTTTCATAAAAAACTTGAGCTAAAGCTATTTCATAATAATCTATAGAAAGTTTAATCATAATCTATATTTTAAAATCTTTAGAAAATTTTAATTCTCAATAAATCAAATTTAATGTAAAGTTACTTTTCCATTTTGATGCCTCTGTTTCATGTAATATTGTTAATAATATTTAGTCATAAAAATATACTGTGCGATATACACTTTGTATCATAATGTATATTTTTAAAATTGTATTCTGATTATAAGTTACATGATGCATTATTTATTTTAATACTTCCGATTTTAATATTTTCTTATAATAAACAATTTATAATATTCTATAA